ACAAGCGGCCTTCTACTATTTCTTGACCACCTAAGCTCACCTGTTACCAGAAAACAAACAAATGAAGTAATGAACTTGTGCTATAGGGGGGATGACTAATAATAGCATGTCTGAGTTACCGTTCCATTCTCCTTAACGTACTTTTATCTAAGTAAGCTCTTTGAATCTTTTGCTATAATACAAAGTATGATAATTGATCTTTTGCTGTTTGAACCCAAACGTACTTTTGAAAGCTCTCTGACAGTAACCCAAACAAGCTATAATACCATAAGGTTCTTGTGCTAAAATCTTTCAATTACCATGCAAATTATTAATTATTCCGGATGATCTTATGCTTTGGCCAGTTATATTACTCGATGGCATTTATTAACAGGGGGAAAACCGGAAGACAAAAAATAATGGATGTGATGTTGATAAATCAACAGTGAAAACATTAAAACTGCCTATACGAGATAGAAATGCACAAAACTAACATGCAATAGTAGTTTTACCTTTAGATCTGGAGTTTCTCCAGCTAGATTCAGCTGAGATAAGATCAGTTCCTGCCATGGAGCAGGTGTCGAGAAGTTTGGTGAAGAAACTCCAGCTGCCATGCTTGCAGCATCCAAAAGAGCACCATCATATTTGAGCTCAACACAATCATAAGGATTTGAGTGCATCACAAATCCATAATCAAGAAGAAAAAGATCATTGCTTAAACAGCCATAGCAAAGTAACAAAGGATCATCTTCTTTGATTGATGTCTCAGCCACAACCTGAGGCAAAGAAAAAATAACAACAGCAACAATAAATTCAGATTTAATATGTTTCTTAAAAGCAGGAAATGAAGGATTTGGTGGGGGTTGGGGGTATATACGAAAGAGTATGAATACATGCCTTCACTTGCATCTTCATGCTACTGGTATCTTGTTCCTGAACAATTCTAGCATTTGGATTGAAACTATGATTGCACATATCAATTAGAGGGAGCATCATGGGTATGTCAATGCGTATCCCATTGGGATCCTTTTCACCATACAACCGGAATGCTCTAGATGAGACCGCTGACATTGCCCATCCAAGAGAAGATGCATCTACTTCTTGACCACCAAAAGGATGCTTATCTGGTGAAAGACTTACTAAGGCACGCTTAACTTCTTGCTCAAAATCAAGAAGAAACCGACATCTTTTGTTAACCTGCCTCATGAAATTGACTTAAATTAACTGTCATACTGCAGGTATGCACAAGGAACTCGAAATGTTTTACAAACGACAGACAATTTCAGCTTCTACAGTTGGTTACCGATGGTCTTCAAGTATTAGCTACAGGACTCAAATCAAAGCACATATCTCTCATGCCCCCAACAGCAAAATGAAAGTACAAGCATTGGCACAGCAGTAAAACAAATGCATATCAAAATTTATCAGTACGAACTATACAATGTTGAGACAATTTTTTAACTTTGGTCATTGGAGATCAAGTAGGTATACTAAAAAATCTACAAAATCAATTCCGGACTAGTTGCGTGTAGTAACATATATTCAGACTCTAGATGAATAAACTTTTCCATAAACAAGTACAAGAGAATAAAAAAAATATAAATGAATTAAGTTTCTCACTTAAGCCGAAATCAACTTTTGCACTTAATTTTTCTAAAAGCTTTTTTTTTCTTCATTTTACTACTTCAAAAGCTAAGGTACCTGTTTGGATAAACTTCTCCAAAACACTTCCGGGAGAAAAAAAATAGAAATTAAAAATGAAATATGCTTCTTCACAAGCTAAAATTTTTAGAAGTTCTCTCATGTAGTGTCTCCAAAAGCATTTATAGGAAGAAAAAATATCAAATAAAAATGAAATAAACTTCTCCATCGGTTAAAATTAGCTTATGCATAAGCTAGTTATATGAGAGAGCTTCTACAAATTAACTATGCATAAGCTAATTTTAGCTTGTCAAGAAGCATATGTCATTTTTCCTTGTTATTTTTTTCCTCCTAGAAATACTTTGGGAGAAATTTATTCAAATAGCCCATAATTCGATTTTAGCTTAAGAAGAAAGTCAATATATTTGACCTTCTTAAACGAATTTTGGCAATCGTAGAGTATAGTACCTGATGAAGAAGAGGAGCATAGTGCAAGTTCTTAATATCCTCCCCTGGAAAGAAAATAGGCAGAGTATATGTTTGTGGAAGATTGCTGATATATGGCCACCAAAAGGATCCAACTTTGGCTCTCTCTTGCAGAAGCTTCAAACCCAATTTCATTGCCCATAGTTCCTCTGCCAAATGCTACCATAGTGTCCAATTCATTTACATAGAAAAACTCAGTAGAGGCTAATTGCCAAAACATAGGTCACATGCGATATTGTTAAAGAGTTAAACGAAAAGATTGACGCATAGGGCATGTATACCAGGGACTTGGCGCGCCAAGTGATGGAGCAGAGGATCGTGTTGGAGAGAGGTGGAGCGCAGGGGAAGGTGGTGCGGGAGCACAATAAGGTCAGTGCCACGTGGAATTTCTTCCTTGGCCACTAGGCCCAGTCCGTTGGAGGAGTCCAGTTGTGATATCCTCACCGCGCGGTGCACCAAGCCTCCTTCTCTCGTTACCCACTTTACGAGGTCCGGTGGGTGGGGTACAATTCGTGACGCCGATGCCGATGCCGATGCGGCGCATGTTAGCGGACGCAACTGGGTGAAGGAACACATTAGCGTCTTGGAAGTGGCCATGGCCCAATCCCGTTCCTCTTTCTCTTGACGGCGCCAACGCCACCACAAGGTTAACAAGTCAAGTGTCAAGTAAAACCAATTTTCTGTATAATTATTTTTGTCATAAATAAATGGTAATTGGTAAGTGATAAGATATTAAGATGGAGAGCCTGAATTCTTTCAGCTCCACTAATATGAGAACATGTGTACCTTTTATTATATTTTAGATTAACGCTAAATATATATATGTAAAAAAAACAGTTTCAAAAAAAAATCTTATTTAGAGGAGTGAAATCTGTCATAAACAAATAAATACAACTATGAAAAGTATTACAAAAAACTATATAAATAATAATACAACTCTTACCATGACATGTGTCTCTATATTTGATTTGAAAGAAATAGAAAAGAAAAATAAATGAAGTTTAGGTGTTGTCATAACATAATTGGTTGAATGTTGATCCTAATAGATTGTTTTTGCACTTGAAAATCGATTTTTAGGTGTTTGATAATCAATTGGTGTCTAAGAAAGTTGATCCACAATTTTTTTTATTATAAGATAATTATATCATTTCTTTAATCATAATAGGAATGATATAATTACATGCATGACTAGAAGTAAGTAAACTATATTATAAAATCTAAACGTTTTAGTCGTTTTACTAAAGTATATATAATTTAATTGACTTATTTATAGACAAGATTCAATGAAGAGTTGTAAATGAAACTATTTTTTTTTTACAGAGTTGATACAATATAAAATAATAAAACACAATAGTTTTTATATATTTATTGTTTGAATTAGAAAAATGAAAATGGAATACAGTAAAATTTAGCGTAGCTTATTTTTATCACATCTTTTGTTTTTCTAATTTAAGGAATAAAATAAAATAAAAAAATTTGTTGTATTGTATTATCTTTAATAAACAAAATAAAGAATCAATTTAATTTTATAAAAGAAATATTTATTTTATCATGTCAAAGGATATTTTTAGAATGAAATAACATTGTTTATAGAAATGAACAATTTTAACTATTTTTATTAGTTTTGATAAATAAATTATTTGTTGATGTAAAATATTAAGAGGGAGTACATAGTATATAGATAGATATGATTGCGATATTTTATAAAATTTGTGTCATAATTTCTATTGTTTTTCTTTCTTTCTATGAATTACTTGGTCACGAACCCATTTATAAACACTTGGTTTGGATATAAAAATACACATACAAAAATCTAATTCAATCTGGCCTTTTTACACTTTAGATCAATTTGGAAGTAAATTGTTTTTTCAGAATTTGATTTAACTTTACTTGTATATGATCTTAAATATTACAAAAACAACTAATTACAATAAAAGTATGTTTGGATGAAGAATTTTATAAATTTAAGAAATTTTAAATTCTTGATATTTGAATTACTTTGATTTTAATTTCTATCATTCTTAGAATATTTTGTTTGGATAAATCAATTCAAATTTCTTAAATTTTAAAGTGTTAGGTTAGATATGATAATTAGATTTTATCATGGTAAACTTGATTTTTAAAATATATTTATATATAGAAATTTTTAAATTAAACTAGATAAAAATATTAGATAATTTTTAAATATTTAATTATTTTAAAAATTAATAAGATAATATTTAATATTTTTAAAAATATTTTTGAATATTCAATAATTTAAAATATGAAGAGATAAGAGATAAGATAAAATATATAAGTAAAATAAGAAAAAAAATATGAGGAAATTTTAAATTCTTACTTTTTTTTTTAAGAATTTGAAATTCTACTATTTAAAAAAATTTCACAAATACTTGAATTTCAAATTCTTTATAAATTTTTCATCTAAATAAGACATTTCATCTCAAAGAATTTAAAATTCTTCAAATAAATAAATTACTTTATTTAATTTCTCTATGCAAACAAACTATAAAAGTTATGATGAATTAAATAAATAATATATTAAAGTGTATGAAAAGAATGTGGATAAAAGAAGAAACTTCATTAAAAATGATCAATTAGTTTCTTTGATGAAAATTAATGATTGAAGTTAATAAATATTTTATATAATAACATAGTTAAAAAAATTATGAACGATAAAGGTGATAAACCTTATTTCTCTCAATTGCTACTGCTATATTGCATTTGCTTTTGAATCTTGATTTTATTAAGGTCTCGCTTGATTACAATTTTTAAGAGAAGACTTTAAATATATTTCTATCTAAACACAAGTTATATCATGCAGGTGAGTGGTATGAATATGAAATTATCTATAATAGTATATCATACACAATATTGTAATGACTATACGCTTGTGATTCTCTATATACACACATTTATTATTAACAATGAAATTGAATATGTAACGTGACAAAGGATAGAGGAAGGATGTGTTTAAAAGAAACGTAGAAGATTAAAATATAAATACATGTCTTGTTGAAGTAATTGGGAAGACAATAGAGGAAAGAGAAAAAATAAGAAGGAATAATGCATGAAGATGTTGTCAAATTAAATAGCTTGATCAGTGGGTTTAACCCTATCGGAGGTGTCATGGCGAGAGCCCATCATCATCATCATTCTGAACTCCTCGAAGTCGATGGTGCCGTCGCCGTCGCTGTCGACTCCACCAATCATGCGACGGCACTCGGCCAGGGAGCACTCCTCGCCCAGGCTGCGCATGACGGTGTTCAGCTCCTCAGCGCTGATGGAGCCGTTGCCGTCCATGTCGAAGACGGCGAAGGCGTCCTTCAGGTTCTCCAGGACCTCGTCGGAGTCCACGCCCTTGGTGTTGAGCTCGATGAACTCCTGGAGGTTGATGCAGCCGTCGCCGTCGCCGTCCACCTCGCGGATCATATTTTCCAGCTCCTGCTCCGTGCCCGGCTGCCCCAGGCTCCCCATTATGGACCCCAGCTCCGACGCCGAGATCTTTCCGTCGCCGTTCACGTCGAACTTCTTGAACACCTCCTCCAGCTCCCCCGCCAGGCGCGTCCGCGACCGCACCGAGAGCGACGTCGACCGGGAGGGCGCGGCGGAGAGGTTCGCCTCATTGTTGCGGTTGAAGAGGGATCTCAAACCCATTGTTGTTGAATATCGGAGCGTTTCTTTGTTCTTGATAGTTGAATTGCATTAATGGGAATGGGATCGTTATTCGTTAACGTTGCTCTCTGTCATCTCCGATATGTGGGTTTCTTCATTTCTATATTCGGGAATTTTGTTTGTCTTCTTGCACCATCGGAATCGGACGTTGTCCAGATTCACTACTTTCTTTTTATTTTTTTATTTACAAAACACATGCATGTAAACATTTTCTTAATTTATCATGTGTCTCATTTAATTCCATTCATTTTCTTAATTTATCATCCCATCTATTTGCATGTGAAAATGTAAATTTGATTTACTCTGATCCAACTTAATGATCAATATTCCAATACCAGGTGACAAGTGTCTCTATTAGCTTCATAAGAAATTTGTACACCAAAACAACATTATAATATTTTTTTAGAAGATAAGCAATAAAAACACAATTAAAATAAGTTCAAATTCTAACAATAATAGGTGTGACAAACTTCAAAAAATTTCAAGAATATAGACAAGTAAAAAATTAAGACATAATTAGGAAGTTAGAACATCACAAAAATAGTTCCAAGATTAGTTTTAGAATTTGATTACACAAGCAAGCAAGAAAAACTCAAATCCACTTCCAAATTAATTTTTTTTTTAATTTCTTTTCTCCTTTTTACCTTTTATTTTTCTGGCTTTTAGAGCTATTTTGTGACTATTCTTCTTTTGTTCTAGTGGCTATAATATTGTAACAAAATGTTCCAAAGTGAGAACACAAAATTGCAAAGAATTTAGAAGTAGAAAAATTCAAAAGGGCTCAAAAAAAATAGTGAAAATGTTGTCATTACTCATGTTTTCACTTAGACCTTTGATTTTCAAACTTTTTGAACTTCCAAGAGAAAGTTCAAATATGATGTTATTGTAGCCTTAATAGTTTTAAATGCTTCGTCAAAATTAAAAATTAATTTGAATCACAAAAAAGCATAGGAAACAAAAACTAGTAAACACTATAAGTCATATGGAAACCTAACTCTACTAAAAGTATGTTAATGATCTAATAGTAAACACAAACTCAAAGATCATAGACAAAAAATATGAATAGATTCGGCCAACATAATATATCTAGCATTTTGCAAGATTAAAAAACAAAGAGCACTACTAGAAGTGATGACAAAATAAGGACTAAACAAGACATTTAAGACATAAATATTTGCATAGATTTCAAAATAAAAATCACACATACACCACACGAACTGTATATCATGCTTCATACACCAAATTAGACATCAAAAAATTAAGAAAAACTCATAAAACAAAAATCATAAGGTGATACACATAAATTTGGTTCATAGAAACTAATAATAATAAAAAAAAACTGAACCAGATTTTTTCAAAACATTTTAGATCTATCATATACCATTCAAAAATTTAGATATAAATAACAAATATAATTCAAGACATATAAGGAATACCAAACAATACGAAAAGTGCAAAAAAGACCTCAATGAAAGAACCAAAGCGTTGATGCCGGATATGATGAAATTAGTGGAGAGATGGTTGATGTTTATCTTCAACTAGCTTCTATTTTAATCCTTATCTTCTTCCATGGAACTCCAAAACTCAAAGAAGTTAAAAAATGGTGGAGAAGAGAAATGGTGTGCATCACTTTAAGAATGATAAGCAAAAATGATTAAAAACTTGTGAGGATGAAGAATTCTTTGATAAAAATTTATAAGGAGAGATTAAAAATGATAAATGTGCTACTTTATATAGGTGAAAGAGTTGTTTATATTTGTGAATATTTTTTAAACAAAATATCCCTTTATATTAAACACAAATTGAAATTTTGCTCAATAATATTTTTAAAGACTTTTCTTTAATGAAATGATTTTTAAGGATTTATTTAAATTTTATTATTTAATTTTATTTTTATTTATTATAATTATTTATGAATTAAATCAACTCCTAAAATACTGATTATCTTTAAGTTAAATGGATCTTTTTGTGACAATTAAGTAATCAATAAAACAAATGACTAGTTAATAGTTGTTCACTGCACAAAACAATTAGAATAGTGTAAATCCAAAAATAATAAGAAATTATCATGATAATTAATGATTCTTTTATAATATCCAAACTACATGAGAATTGTTTTATGAGTTTAATCATCTTCGTTTATCTATATTATTTAAACTTAAGTTGATTACAATAATACATATTTTTTTTCTTTTGTATTGTATACTTTATATGTATGTTTTTTATTATAATATCATTAGTTTTTTCTTCTTCTAAATACTATAATATCATTTTTTTAATTATATATGCGTTCGTTCCCACTTAAGGTAATAAAGCCTTTAATTTAATTGAATCATATAAAAAAAGAAAGGCTCATGATAAACACACCTCCACTCTCCTATAAACACACCCCCTTTTACAAAAATATATATAAAATGTCTAAATTACCCTTAAAAAAAAAAATTTCTAAATTTACACCCCTTCCTCGCACCCCCTTCCTCGGACCCCCTTCCCCTCACCTCACACCCCCCTTCCCCGCAAGCAGAACGGGTCGTACTGCAAGCAGAACGGCCCGTTCTGTTTGCAGTGCGAGCCGTTTTGCAAGCAGTACGGCCCGTTCTGGGGCTGTTCTGTTGCAGTACAAGCCACCGCGTCACTTTTAAAATGGCTACCTTATGACTGATTTTAAAACCCCGATTTTAAAAGTTATTTTTGTACTAATATTTCTTTCCATAGAACAAGTAAGAGTCTTTCTCTTACAAGACCACCTGCTGACATTGCGCACCCCTCTTCTTTCTCTTTCTGGCACTCCTCTTCTTTTTTTTTCCCGCACCTCGCACACCCCTCTTCTTTCTCTTTCTGACACTCCTCTTCTTCTTCTTCTTACTGTTACGGAAAGTTCTTTCCAGAATTATATAAAAATGTTCCGGAAAATACTTTCCATAATATTAAATTCTTATTCCGGAAAGTATTTTCCGGAAATGTTTTGTTACATAATTCCGGAAAGTACTTTCCATAATATTAAAGTTACTATTACGGAAAGTTCTTTCCGGAATTATATGAACAATAATTTTACTATTCCGGAAAGTACTTTCCGGAATGCTAATGACTGTAAAAGTACTTTTCGAAATGCTAATGACTGTAAAAGAGTATTTCTTATGCTGGTTATGGTGGGGTTAGTCCTTTTTTTCTATTCAGAATGACTGTAAAAGTATATTGCTTAATAACATTGAGCGGAAATACACTTTGGGAAGAAGATGAGTGTGGAGTGTGGGGTGCGGGGAAGGAGGGTAGGAAAAGGGAGATATAAATTTAAGAATTTCATTTTTTTTAAAGGGTAATTTAGACATTTTATATATATATTTTTTAAAAAGGGGGTGTGTTTATATGAGAGTGGAGGTGTGTTTATCACCAACAAAAAACAAAAGCATTTAATTGTTTGGGCCAGTTTAGGGCCGAATGAATAGCCAGCCCAAATCTTGGGCGACGTAGCGTGGTCGTTACACAGCGGAGCACAACCCTCTCGGTTGGGTTACCCCTAGAGCAATCTATTCTATGTATATCACCATTCACCTGCTACCTACTGCTCCAGTTCCAACTCTTCACAAAATATTTTATACTCCATTCGCCTAACTCGCTCTCTCTCATCAGATCAAGCATCAGGTTCTTTTTTTCTCTTCGTTTTCTTTCTCTTTTCCTAAACTATCGTCGTTCGATTATCGATCCTACCAAATCCTTCTATTGCTTCAACTTTTGCGCCGCTTTCTCCAATTTTTCTTGTATTTGCTTCAACTGCCACTTCTTTTCGCTGTAATTCCCTCCTTCCAAACAATTGAAGGATGGTAGCCACGTCTGTTACGGTTCCCTGGGTCTTAGTTAGGGTTTCCCCAATTGCTTGTCCTTTTCTTCTAATTTTGATTCCGCTGATCGTGTTTCACAAGTTTTGTGGATAATGCTTGTTCAGTTTAGGATTCCATTTTTAATTAATTAATTAATTGTTTCGTATTATATTCTTTTCGCTTCGTAAAAGTTTTTTATGTGCACGCCATTATAATTGTTTTTTGTCTGTACTCCGAATTCTGTGCCACTGGCTCGCACGCCAATTTTTTGTGATTGTGTTGGTTACATCGTGTTGTTTGCTCTTACAGGGAGCTTTGAGGGTTGATCCTGGTGTAGCAATCAGCACAGTAAAAAATGGTACGTTTTGCTGTTAATTTTCCTGTTTCCAACTTCCAAATATTGGTTTTATCATTTCTTCTGCAAATCATTTGCGAACATAATATAAATTGAAAACAAGATCAGATTTTTGTAATTACTAGTGAAAGTGTAAAATAGTAATGCCAAACATTTCCATAAACTCAATATCCCCCAACTCTTTTGTTGTTCTAGTTTCGATGAATAATTTATATTTCAGCTCCTTTGTCATTCCCAGTATCATTTTTTTCTTATATCATCTCTATTTAATATACTGTTCCGTTTTCTAACATGTTAATCAATTAATTTATTATGCGATGTTGATGCACTGATGATGCTGATATTTGTCACTTTTTTATAATTTTATCTACTTTCTGTACACTTCTCAACAGTTTTTTGACGGATATGGATACCATGGGACATCATTTGAGCAGATATATCGATGCTACCCAGCTTCTTTTATTGAAAAGGTTGGCATTTCTTTCAGGCATTCATTTTTAATCTTGCATAGCCACATGGAATGATATAAAGTTCATTTATTGTTAATTTCCATTTTGTGCTTATAACTAACTGTTAAGTGTATTGGTTCCAACAAACTAAAATTAATCACAACTTATATAGTTATCTATATAATGTGCTATAGATGGTATTGTATGTTAGTTTCCTCATCCAGTAGTTTGGTTCATCATAAATTCAAAAACAAGAAAAAAATGTTGTCCCTTTGACTGGGCAGGTTCCCGCAATTCACTCTATCCCTTGCAAACCCTACTGTGAACTTCCCTTTACACCAAAAACTGTTGAAATCTGAAAATTTAAAATATATTGGATACATCCAAATGTTGTTAAAATTGAGATTCTATGTAGGGATTAGAGATGGACTGATGAAAGATCGTGGATTATAAGATCTTACTAAAGATACAAAATTAT